CGTCTGTGAAGAGGCCTCGGTAGCCTTGGCCTAGCTCTGACTTAGCGGTGCGCTGTGACCGGCGCTGAGGAACCCCTCTGTTGGTCGTCATGGGACGCCGGCCCTGACCCAGTAACGCTGTGTACCCAGCGGGTAGCCCGTGTGTTTCTAATGATGTGTGTATAATAGAAGACCCCATTTGATTAATTCCTCCCCTTGTGTTTCTAAGCAATTAACCCTGATTAACTGTGCACTAGCCAGAGCCCGGGGCAGCCATGGTGGGTAAGTGGCATCCTAATTGGACGTGCATTCCGATCGGCAGTAAAAGGACATTCTATTGTTTCTCTATTGCGTCGCGGTGAAAGTGACTACGGAAGACTTGCATACAGATAAGTGACAGAGAACTCATAAGCGCGCAATTTTACTTGGTTGAGACACAGACGGACTCTTAAGCTTTAATAACTTCTCAACTTTAATGGGAAGTTTGATCAAAAGTTGATTCAATTTTCTACGTTGAAAGGACTCATTGGGAACGAAATGCTTACCAATGAAAGTGTCCCGCAGAGGGACGATAGCTGTCCTTCCATGTTCATCGACCCGGGCACTTTCATTCCCAGGACCAATGTGAGAGGCTGATCATTTTCTCCTTTTGTGTCGATTTTGATGTTAGCGGCTCAAGTTATGGTCCTGGCCGACTGCCCACCCACTCTGCCGACTGCTGCTAAGGCCTCGCTATTGGCCTCGTTCCTCAACTTGACTGACAGGCGTGACTCAGATCTCATTTGTGGAGTGATCAGCCAAACGCCCACCCCCGTGCAGCTGGATGTGCTCCTGGCAGGGGCCGCGCATTGCTCATTACGTGCATAACCATCGACATGAGCACCTGCTTAGGAGGAAGGGATCCGCAGACGCAGATGCTTGGCGAGTTGTACCAACATGTGATCAGAACCCACTCAACGACGACACGAGTTCTCACGAAAGCCCTTCATGCCCACGCAGACTCACAAACACCCATGAGTCTAAAGGTATTTATCCCTTTTCTCCAAAAGAGGGGGGGTCCAAAGATTTGATAATTACCCATTTTATATTCTTCTTTACTTTGTCAGTTTTCTGGCAGTTAGTCAGTGTTGGTCCGTTGTGTGCTGCCGAGTTGCGTTGGCTTTGTCTGCTCTGTGCTTTTTTGTGTCGGATCAATTCATTTGCTGACTTTTAATGTTTTGGAGAGTGGAAAGTTTGGAGAAGATGTGTGTGAGTTTGGATCACTTAGTGCATCGCAGTTTGGTCATTATTTCACTTAGTGGACATTTACAGTCTATTTCCAATCAAATGACGTAAGCACAGTACAGCAACAACGTTGTCTATATCCCAATAACCATCCACCCATCTCTTTGCCTCATCAAAAAGTAAAGAAACCCCATATGGGAACCATTAAATCTATAGGCTACTCTTGCAAGCGGCGACTCTTCAGCTGAGCTCCATCTGTTAAACCTCCAAAACATTTACTTCCCCTTCTTGAATTCACACAATCTCCCGATCTTAATACTGTATGTTAGTAAATCAGACTCCCTGAAGGTTTGTGGCAGCATCTGTTCTTACGAGCTCCATCCCTCTCGCGGTGTCCCTCCAGGTTACGGCAGCATCTGTCAGCTACAGCTCGTGTCTCGTTTAGCTTCCCACAAAGTGTCATTAGCCTCCTTAAGTCCTTTTGCTTTTGCTTCTTTTACTCCGATTCGACTCGAAGGTGGTCCGTGGGGTGGTTGGAGGGGGGGGGGGGGGGGAAACCCCCCCCTCCGTTGTGGTTGTCGAATCCCCGGGTATGGGGGGCCTGAGGTGGGGCGCCGCTCGTTAGACCACCCCCGCCACCGCCGATAGTACATGTTTTCCAAAAGAGTGTTTCCTTTCCAGTTGGTGAAGTCTCTCAAATGCGACTCCAGTATTCCCATTACCATCATTCAGTATTAGAGAAATTCAACTCATTAAAAAGCAGAAAAGCGCTCGAGACCGGGGCGACTCTGAGGATGGTGGGCCGATTGCCGATGATTAAATCTACCAAAAGCACCGCGGACTAACCGAAAGGGTCTCGCTAGTCCCCAATAAATAATCATTGACCTCTACACCCTATGAAAAAATGGGAATCGGGGTAGCGAGGAAACG